GGATATAGCTCGCTAGCAGCCTCGCACTGATCACCTATCCACGTCATCCTTTACCCAGAACGCTTTGTGTGTAAATAAAATGGCTCCATCTGTGTTAAAATATATTTTTAAAAATTTACAAAACTAAACAGACTTTAGTTTTTTTACAGTCTTTATTTTACAGTTAAAATAAATGTTTATCAAATAAAGTCTAATGTTACAACTAATCGGGGATCTCTTTAAAGAAAAAAAATCATTCCAACAAGAAAGCCCGGTAGTGTTAGTATCATGGTTTGCAGTGGTGGGCATGGTTCAGCTAATCAGCTAACAGCTAATAATGGAACTCATTTTTCATTTAGCTTTTTCACTAACTTTGAAAACTGTTAGCGAACCAATTAGCCTCTACTAAATTAGGTCAACTTTAGGTCTGCGAACAGCTAATTAACAAACTAACAACAACAGGTTTATGTTGATTCCATCAGTAGATGAAAAATGTGACGCTGACTGAGACAGTTGTACTAGCAGTTAGCAATTAGCTGTTAGCATTAGCTTCCACTAGGTTTTACTTGTTTAGCTGCTAAGAGTTAGCTTTCACAAATTTATGTTTGTTTGATTATTTTTTACATATTTCGCTGTTAAAAGTAAAAAAAGCAAACTTTTTGGTTAAGGTCCTGTCACACTAGACAACTTTTGCCAACTTATAAAGCATTTTTTAAGTCTAAATTGCTAATAAAAGATGTATATTTGATTAATTTGTTAGAATTACAGTATGTACATGCCTAAAAGAAGCTTCCAGTTGATTTTTTCAATTCATTCTTCAACATAGATGTCTTTAAAATTTTCATAAGTTGTCTAAAACTTAATAGTGTGACAAGACCTTTAGCAGTGCCCACCTTTGATGGTTTGGACCAGTTTCTTCATTCTGCGGGCAAATTCTTTTTAATCCAGAACTGGATCTCAAGACAAAGATAGTCAGGAACCAAAGAACGACCTAAATAAAACCCAACCACAGTCGTTCAACCAAAGGATTGATGTTTTACTTTAATGGACATGTTGGATATAAAGTAGCCAATAAGTGACATCATAGCAGCCAGATGTGGTGTCAAGCTGGAACTGCTGATTGACTGCTGGCAGCTGGATGTGGGCCAGGTCTGGCAATGATGGCATTGTTTTTAAGATGGCGTACCACCACTGGCCCAGTTGTGGTTTAGTTTATGTGGTGCTGGTTCATGTATGGACCACCTCTGGCAAACCACAACAGGACCACCAAAGAGCCATCATTCCTTGTGGTAACTGAACAGAGTGTTAGTGCATTGTGTGGGCCAGAACTGGGCCAGACAAATATCGCTATGTGAGTATTCAAACATTTTATATCAGCCAATAAAGAAGAAGACAGAGTGTGAAAGACATTTCAAATCCCTGACATACTTTAGAAGAYCTTTAAAAGCGACTGCCCTGGTGACACTGCCTGCATTCATTAGTTAGTCTCATTAAATCCACCCCCCCAAAACCCACCAAGGTATGAAGCCGAGGAGAGGAAACAGGTTAGGTTTTTATATCTCAWCACCACAGACTTGTTCTTTTTTTCCCCCTTTAAGTTAATTCAAAGAAAAGCTTTTTAATGAGTCGTTTTCTCACCTTTGAATTGTCCGTTGAAGTACACAAAGTTGACATCTTTCCCCGTTTTCTTCCACTCGATGCGTGGGTACGGGTCATTTTCTGTGCGGAACGTGCACGACAGCACTGCATCTAAAAYAGAGGGAGTGTGACCAGTGAGTTGTTGTTTTTTTTTTCCTCTTAAAGTGGCAAAGCTTCGGTGGCATTTTTAACTTGCTTGKTCTATTTATAGCTGTCTGGTTTACTGTCAAGAATAATCAAACTGAGGCATTTTTTTTTACCTGAGAACTCCTCCACTTCCACCTTGTGTTTGTTGGTCGACACGGTTACAGGAACACAGGGGGAACCTGGAGGTGGTGGGGAGTAAAAACAAAAAGTATCAGCTCATCATTTGTTAAAGAACAACGTAGAGCAAATTTAAACTCTTGCATCCACGTCTGATGTAAACCCAGTAGGCATTTTTCCTCTAGGAGGTCTGAAGGAAAGGAGATTATTCAATCCTCTGACTTAATCCTGCCGGGTCAAGGAAGAGATTGCCGTATGTTTATTTAAACCTAGGTTGGGTCAAAAGTCACTGATGGTTTCACCAGCGGCTGCTCCGGATTAACCTGACGTGTGGAGGTTATCTCTTCAGCCATCTGCGCGTCACCGATACCATGCATCCAAACAGGAAGAGGCAGCGGCTTCTTTTCCTGTGTGCTGATTGGTTTACATTATGGATTACAGTCTGGTCAAAGATCAAGGAGAGGGGAAAGGGGAAAGTTTGTATTGTTTGGCATTAGTTCATAGAAAAGTTACAAACAAGCTGAGAGCTGGGACCAAAATAGAACAACTTCAGCCTCAAGAACTTGGTGTGTTTCAGTGGATTAGATCCTAACCCGAGTTGTGAATCCAGTTGATAGCCTTGTCCCAATAATTCTGCTGTTTTCTGTCATTGGTCTATGATATCAACTGGTAAACAGAAAAACCTCGTCTCTTCTAGGTTGATAGAAGAATGAACAAAAACACAAGTCTATCTTTGTTCTCCGACATGCCGAACAGGAAGTTTGCTTGRATCAGCTAAAGGCGCCCTTTAAGGTTAATATCTTCCTGGGTTTGCAACTGTTGGGAACAAATTATGAACAACACAACTTTTCAAATTCAAATTCAAAAATACTTTATTGATCCCAAAGGGAAATTTCATCAGAAATTTGGAAATTTTGCAGGAGTTCTCAGTTTTCTTTGTGCAAGTTGTAAGACCTCACTTTTGCGTCAAAGAAAATCTGAACACGATCCAAAAAATGAAYAACAATTAATAATATCCCTCTCAAAATAGTCACCATGGTCATCTGGAACCCATCTCAAACCCTTTACAATATAGTTTTTGTAATAACCGTGTCTGCTGGGTGGCTGTGAAAATATCTATTTTTTTTGTTTTGTTTTTATATAAGAAATCACCAAAACAAGTCCAGTTTAATTATTAAAACAGTGTAACTCAGTTCTTGGTTAAATGGGTTTTTGGGAGAGGTGGGGAGYAGCGAGGGATTGGCGGGCAGGGGGAGCTCAGCTTGGCTTCTACAGGAAACACGTGCCTTTTTGGACTTCACGAGCCACTGTTGTTAAGCAACACAGTAACAAGTAGCCCTTCAGTGTTTCTAATCCTACCTCTACACGGAGGCTACAAACAATGAGCCATGAACAGACCTGGAGCAATGAGGCGACACTGTGCCCCCTCGATATCTGATGCACACATAGCTCATCTGGTAGAGAAGACACAAAAGAATGAGGTGGTGTTTTCACAGAGCTGGGGTTCAAGCGGTCTCCAGAACAAAGCTGTATTAAAGTGAAAAAACTTTGATTAGACTTCCATCTTTCTGTCTGTCTGCACTCTGTCCTGCACCCTTCAAGTCTGCTTTTGGTCTGGACCAGTGGTGTCCAAAGTCGGTTCTCAAGGGCCAGTGTCCTGCATGTTTTAGGTGCTGCCCTGGTTCAACACAGCTGAACCTAAGGAATGCTTAATTAATGGGTCTCTGCAGACCTTGATGGCAAACTGAGAAGGCAAATCATCTATTTGAATCAGCTGTGTTGAAGCAGAGACAAATCTAAAACTTGCAGAAGACCGGCCCTTGAGGACCGGAGTTGGACATGCCTGGTCTGGACCAAAACACGGGACCAAAGGACTTCTTGGTGTCAACAACCTAAGTCATTATATATATAT